TCCCCAGAACTAAATATTCACACAGTCGTGGGGATCCCCTGAAAATACTAACACATTCCTAAGTCTCCTTGTAAATACAGATGCATACATGAGAACCCCTCGCACGTACTGATGCATGGCCTAAGGAATCTCGTGAAAATACTGACAAACATACTTGCAATTTCAGAAACCCAAAGAACAGAATGCAAACATTTGTGGAATTTTCATTTTGTCACAGCAAACAGCATAAGAAATCATACGTTATTAATGAAATAAAACAAAATTGGATGGCATCTAAACAGAAGTCTGCTTACACTACCACTGACTGTGGTCAGAGCCCTTGTGGACCCCTTAGGATCTAGTTTGAAAACCTAAGTAGGAGGGCATAAGGGGTGAACTGATGTTGCAATGTACACAATTGAACCTGCACTGAAAACAGCTGGGCCTTAAGATACAGGCTTGAAACCACATCATAAACGACATGGATTAAAATGTCTTAAAAACAGCAACGTTTTAATATCACCAAGGTAACCCCAATGGCAATACCTTTCAGCTTTTCAGCAAATTTTATATTAGACTGGGGAATTGCATGGAAAACTTAACCTTCTCAAACTAGTTTGTAGAATCCCTGCCATAATGAAATTAACAGAAAATTTTAATCTTCTTTTATGTTTAACAGTGACAAATGATACATGAATACACTCAATTAAAAGCCGTTAGTGGTTTAAAAAGTAGGATCCTCTGGACATAGAATGTAGAAATTAGGAGCAGTAGAATGCCATGCAGCCTCTTGAGCCTGCTCCTCATCTCAATAAGTTTATGGTTGATCTGATGCTCCTCATTCCTGCTTACACCTGATAACATTTCACCCCTTGCTTATCTTACCTCTGTTTCAAAAGTGTTCAAAGTCTCCGCTTCCCCTGCCTTCTGAGGAAGGGCAATCTAAAGACTCATGACTCTTTGAAAAAGATGTCCCCTCATCTCTGTCTTAAATTTTTAAACAACCACCCCAGTTCTTTATTTTCCCACAAGAGTAATTGTGCTTTCCACATTCACTCTCAGGTTCCTCAGAATCTTATATGTTTCAATCAAGTCAGTGGATACAAGCCCTAGCCCGAACAACCTTTCCTCATAATGCAACCCATCCATTGTAAGTATTAGGGTATCAGAAACAAAAACAGAAATTACTGGAAAAGCTCAGCAGGTCTGGCAGCATCTTTTGAGAAAAATCAGAGTTCATGTTTTAGGTCGAGTGACTCTTCCTCAGGGTATCAGGAACCTTTCACTGAATTGCTTCCAAAGCATTTACATCATTCTTTAAATGAAGAGACCTATACTGTACATAACACTCCAGATGTGATCTCACCGATGCCCTGTATAACTTGAGCATAACTGAAGTGTTCTACATCCCATATAATAATAATTAGCTTTCCTAATTATTTCCTATACCTCCATACTAACCTTTTGTTATTCATGCATTGAGGCACCCAGATCCCTCTGCATCTCATAGCTTTGCAAACCCTCAACATTTACGTAATATGCTTTTTTTATTATTCCTGCTGAAATGCACCATTTCATACTTTCTCACATTATACTCAATATGCCAGATCTTTACCACTCATTTATTTTATTATTTCCCTTTGTAATCTACTTACGTATTCTTTACAACTTATTTTCCTACCTATCCTTCAGTCATCAACAGATTTAGCAACTATATCTTCGGTACCTTCATCAAAGTCTATTTGCATAAAATGTTGACACCTGAAGCCTGAGCACAACTTCTTACACCTTGCCAACTGGAAAAAGGATCATTTATGCCTACTCCAAGTTTCCTGTTAACTAGCCAGTCTTTTACACACGACAATATATGACCACAAGCTTTTATTTTCCCCAATAATGTTTGGTGCAGATCCTTATAAATGCTTTCAGGAAATTCAAGTACAATACATCTATTGCTTCCCTTTTATCAACAACACATTACATCCTCAAAGAAGTCCAACAAATTAGTTAAACATGATTCCAATTAATTGGAACTTCCTCCAAATTAGGGAATTTTGGAAAAGTAAATATCCACTATCTCACTAGCCACTTCTTTTATGATCCGAAGATGGAGTCCATTGGGACCCAGGGACATGTCTGCCCACAGCTTAAAAAAATTTGCTCAGTACTACATCCACGTTGATTGTAATTTTCTCGAGCTGCTCCCTTCCTTCCATTTCCTGACTTACGGCTATTTCTAGGATGCTACTTGTATCCTCTACAGTAAAGACAGATATTAGAACACCCATTAAGTTCATCTGACATCTGATTTTCCACTGCCAATTCCCCAAACACAATTTCTATAGGATCAATACTCACCTTGTTAACTCTTTTACTTTGTAAATATCTACAGAAACTCTCACTTTTTGCTTCTGTATTTCTAGCTAGTTATGTCTTGTAATCTAATTTTTCAGGATACAAGGATGTTCCTGGTGACTGGGAAATTCAGAGCAGGGATCACAGTATAAGGATATAGGTTAGGCTATTTAAGACTGAACTGAGGAGAAATTTCTTCACTCGGAATGGTGAGCCTGTGGAATTCTCTGCCACAGAAAGTAGTTGAGGTCAAAACATTGAATGTTTTCAAGAAGGAGGTACAAATAGCACTTAGTGCTAAAGGAATCAAAGGATACAGGGAGAAAGTGGGAACGGGACTGAGTTGGAAGATCAGCCATGACCATATTGAATGGTGGAGCAGACTCGAAGGTTACGTGGCCTACTCCTGGTCCCATTTTCTCTGTTTTCCCTCCTTATTAATCTTTTAGTAAATGTTTGCTTTCTTTTTAGGTTCTGTTCAATCTTCTGACATGCCACTGAACTTTGTTCTGCTTTTCCCTCAAGTTTGACACAATCTTAAACTTTTTAGTTAACAGCAGATAATGAATTCTACCCTTGGAGTTTTTCATTCTTGTAGGAATATATCTATTCTGTATATTCTGAAATATCTGCTTAAATATCTTTGTCACTGCAATTATAGTGATGTATCCCTTATTTACCCATTCATTTTAATTAGCTTAGCGTTTGTGCTGCCAAAATTGCCCTTATTTAAGTTTAAATACTACTCTCGGACCCACTCCTTCCTCCCTTCAAATTGAATGTAAAATTAAATCACATTATGATCACTGGTACCTAGGGGGGTCTTCACTACCAGGGAATTAATTAATCCTATCTCACCGCACAATATCAGGTCTAGTGTAATCTGCCCTTGGTCTCCAGAATGTGAAGTTCTAAAAAACGATCCCAAACACATTCTCTGAAGTACTTATCTAAGCTACCTTCCCATCTGGTTTTTCCAGTCTATCCACAGATTAAAATCATCCATGATTATTACCATACCTTTCTGACAAGTCATCATGATTTCTTTCTTCCTACTCCATCTTGCATTCCACTGTCTTCTTGCTGTTATAATCTCTTATTTTGACCCAAACTGCTTCTATATCCTGGTCCCTTAAATTTAGACCATCACTCCCTATTGTGCCAAAACCATCATTTATTAACAGAACCACCCCTCCAATTTTTCCTAAATGCCCTGTACCCTTCAACAGTCAGGACGTAAACTGTGTCATCCCGCAGCCAGGTCTCTGTAATGGCTACCAGATCAGTTATTTATCTTTATTTGCACTGTCAATTCATCTATTTTGTTCCAAATGCTGTGTGCATTTGAATACAGTCTCTTACTTTTGTCCTTTGAGTTCTGTGTAATCTCTAGCCTTGTGTGTTGAATTACTCTTAGATATGTATTCCCTTTCCCTTCTTGTCACGATCTGTTTATCATTTTCCTTTCTCTCTTGCCATGTCTCGATTCTTTGATTTAGACCATAAGATATAGGAGCAGAATTAGGCCATTCTGCCCATCACATCTGCTCCACCATTCCATCATGGCCGATGTGTGTCTCCACCCCGTTCTCCTGCCTTCTCCCTGTAACTCTTGATCTCCTTGATAATGAAGACTCTATCTATCTATCTCTGCATTACCACATGTTTCCAAATTTGATCCCCTGGCCGCACTATTTAAAGTCCTCTCTATTTCCTTAATCAGGTGCATTATCAGAAGTTAGACATGTTTTGGGTGTAGACCATCCTAACTGTGTGGATCCCACTTTCCCCAGTACTGGTGCCAGTGCCCCACAAACTGGATCCCACTTTTCCCATGCCAGTCTTTCAGTCACGCATTCATTTCTCCAATCTTAGGTGCCCTTTGTTAATTTGCTTGTGGGTCCAGAGGTTATTACATCTGAGGTTCTGATTTTTACTTTGCTGTCTAGCTGCTCATGCCCTGCATAACCTCCTCGTCCTGCCTATGTCATTGGTACCAACACAGACAACAAATGACCATACCCTCCTCCCTACCATTGCCAGTTCCTCCACTTCCTAGATATTCCTGAACCCTGGCATCAGGCAACATGGCTGTCTGTAGCTGGACTCTTTGCTGCCAAGAACAGAGTCAACACCCTCCCCTTCCTGCAAGTATACTGTCCTCTACATTCCTTCACTAACCTCCCATTTCAAGGGTTTCCTGGCACCTTCCCCACCACCCCCCCATACCCCTGCAGCCCCAGGGTCAGTTAGCTCATCCTCCTAGCAAATTTCAGCCCTCATCCAACAAGCCAAAAACGGAAGAACCTCCGACCTGTTGGGACACTTGGATCCTGTGATGTGTGCTGGCCTGGAAGTTGGCAGTCCCACTTCTCCTCCTGATCCCTCTCCAAGTCAGACCACTGGGAGCCAAGTGCTCTCATATCAAAGGCATTTCCACTGGGTTGCTCACGGACGGCAACAACACATCAAGTGAGTCAGATTTTAAACTCGAGTCGCACTGACAACCGATGAAAGTAGTATGGAAAACACGCGCTGGCATTAGATTCCACCCCACTCCCCAAATCCACACCAAGCAACACTCCCCACTCAGGTCCGTCCCCCCCTCCCTCCCGGCTGAGAGAGAGAGAGAGAGGAGGGATTGGGGCTGGGTGGGGGACACATACCACAACAAAGCCCACGGTCCTGTGATCGCCGAGTGCACCAGGGAGACGCTGAGGTTGGTCCATCGCCACGACTTGGTCTTGTTACCCTCGACCTGTTTCGGGAGGAGGCAGCAGCTCCGCGCCCGCAGGACGAGCCGCAGGCTCTGGAACGCCAGGGCGGATAATAGGATCGTCAGGATCGGGTGGTCCTGGGCGATCATGGCTGGAGCAGCGGCGAGCAGCCGCTTCCCATTTAATGGGGAAAGCGCCGGGGAACGCCTCTGTGTTTCTCCACCCAGCCAGGATCACCCCCCCACACACACACACTTTACTGCCTTGTTGGTAGAAAAGAGACGTCCCACAAAATCTTATTTGCTGCGTCCGCTCCGCCTGCATTGGCGAGGGAAGCCACATGTATTTGTAAAGCAGCGACACACCAACATTCAAACCCCAGTGCCAAGTCAGGACTCTTGACTCGAAAGGGCTTTGGGTAGGAGCCGTGCTCAGAGAGACACAACAGAGAGAAGATCTGCTGTCTGCTCTAGCGTGATTTCTAAGAAAGCTTGCAGCTCTTGGCTTCACTGTTTAAAGCCCAGGGAAGTGAACACACACACACAGAGGCTAAAGTCAGGGTCACAAACAAAAACAGAAAGTGCTACAGAAACTCTGGCAGCATATGTGGAGAGAGAGAAAGCAGAGTTAACGTTTCGGGTCCAGTGACCCTTCCTCAGACCTGGATAAAGTGAGGTGGATTTTATTGAAAGAAAAAATACCAGTTGCTCCTTCGTTGAAACCCATGGGGGGAAAAAGTCTCACAGTATTCTCAGTCAGATGACTTATACCTTTGACATCCCGCTCCCCAGCTCTCCACACACAGGGGTGTGTCCCAGCTGAAAATCAACCAGCATTATTACACAGATGCTGGAAATTAAAATACAGGAAACATCCAGGAGCTCAGGCAGCAGCTGTGAAGAGAGGAAGTTTAGGTTGGACCTTCCGGCGGATTGTTCTGGTAATGTTACATCGAGGGAATCGTTTGCTGTCATTAAACAGAAGAATGAGCGCTGTTGTTTCAATTTGTCACTGTCTCCTCACCCCACAGGGAGATAAGGAAAAAATGTTTTCCCTCAGAGGGTCGTTAATCTGTGGAATTTCCTTTCCCCCTCCACAAAGCTTTGGAGGCAGGTTCTTTCATGATGCAAAGGGGCTCAGTAGTGGTTAGTGCTGCTGCCTCACAGCACCAGGGATGTGGGTTCGAATCCAGTCTTAGGTGACTGTCTGTGTGGGGTTTGCACATTCTCCCTGTATCTGAATGGGTTTCCTCCGGTAGCTTCTTGATTCAGGCAGTCAAATGTTATTGGGGCGGGGGTGGGGGCATAGAGGAAAGTGGAGCTGAGATCCCAATCAGATGAGCCATGAGTTTTTTTGCATGGTAGAGCAGTCTCCAATGGCCTGCCTGTGCACCTAGTTTATGCCTGTGTCTTTGTATTTACTCTCACTCCACAAGAACGTAAGATCATAGAATCCCTACAATGTGGAAGCAGGCCATTCAACTCATCACATCCATATCAACCCTGCCAGCCCCAAAGAGCATCCCATCCAGACTTAACCCCCGCCCTATCCCTGTAACCCTGCAATTCCAATGGCTAATTAAGCTAAACGACATATCCCTGAACACAATGGACAATTTAGCATAGCCAAACAACATAACCTGCACATCTTTGGACTGCTGGAGGAAACCACAGCACCCAGAGGAAACCCATGCAGATACAAGGAGATACACAGTCACCCAAGATTGGAATTAAACCCAAGTCCGTGGTGCTGTGAGGCAAGAGTGCTAACCACTACTGAGTCACCATGTCACCCCATGTAACAGCAAAGGTAAACCATTCAGCCCTCTAGTCTTCTCCACCATTCAATGATACCGTGGTTGATCTGATAATTTTCACCTCCATTTTCCTGCCTTTTCCCCGTAAGCCTTGATTCCCTTATTGACCAATAATGTGTCGATCTTCTCTTTGGATATACTTAACAACCCACCGTCGACAGCTTTCTAAGGTAAATAATTCCACAGCTTCATTACCTCTGTGAGAAAAAAAAAACCTTCTCATCTCCGTTTTAAATGGGTCCTCTGGTCCTAGACTCTTCCACTAGGGGAAATCCCCTAAGAATTATAACATAAAATAGAATCCCTACAGTGTGGAAACAGGCCCTTTGACCCAACAAGTCCACACTCACCCTCAGAGCACCCTACCCAGACCCATCCCCCTATAACCCACCTAATCTACACATCCCTGAACACTATGGGCAATTTAGCATGGCCAAACCACTTAGCCTGCACATCTTTGGACTGTGGGAGGAAACCAGAGCACCCAAGCAGACATAGGGAGAACATGCAAACTCCACACAGACAGTCACCCAAGGCTGAAATTGAACCCAGGTCCCTGGCGCTGTGAGGCAGCAGTGCTAACCACTGAGCCACTGTGCCACGCACAAGCCACTGTGCTGCCCCATGTTTCAATAAAGTGACCTTAAACTCCAATGAGTAAAGCCCAACCTAAGGGAGCACAGATCAGGAAACCAGTCCTGCTACATTTCATGGGTGCTTCTGATTTTGCATTGTTTAAAGTCAAGAGAGGAACATCTCCGAAAGGGAAGAAAAATGTGGAAATGAATGTACTGGCTGTGCTGGAGTTATATACAAGATAAATGGGACCAGTATGTGTCCTTCACAAGTTGTACTGGTTTGTCCTGTAGGGTTTGGACTCCTTGTATTGGCAGTCGATGAATGGGAACATCAGGTCTTTGGAGTTGAGAATATCAGACGACAGGAATGCTATAATGATTTTGTCAGATATAATTCCTTGACCCTTTTGGCACCCAAATCAGCCAGGAGAAGGAGAGTGGTGGTTGATAGAACTGTTCATCCCTCCTTTCAAGGGAGAAGTAGCAATCCTTCAGACCATCCTGCTGGGGGATGGATGTGTAGAAAGATTGCACATCCACGTTGAAGAGGTGGAGGCTGGGGCCAGGTTACTGGAAATTGTGGATCTGACATAAAGGGTGAGAAGAATTATGGATGTAAGTAGGAATAAACAGAGTGAAGGGAGATAGGAAGAAATAAGTCCTGTGATGTGGAAACAGGCTGAAATGATGGTCTGCCAGGGCAGTGCCATTCTTACTTTGAACGACTTCTTTAACTTGTCACACTTTCTCCCAGTCAACGGTACGGCTATGGGTAAGCCCTGCATCCCAGTTATGCCTCTGGAGTATGTGGAATATTGCTTATTCCAGTTCTAGCTGGGCCCCTTCCCACAACTCTTTCTCCAATACATTGATGACAGTATTAACCAGATTTGAAAAAATGAATCAGTTTTGCTTCCAATTTCATCCCTTCACCCAGTCCATCTCTAACTATTCCCTGTCTATCTTTGATTTCACTTTTTCCATTTCTAGTGGTAATCTGTTCACCAATACAACCAAGCAACTAGCATTGTTACCTCGACTGTACATCGTCTCATCCTGCTTCCTGCAAGGACTCCATTCCATTCTTCCAGTTTCTCTGTTTCTGTCGCATCTCTTTCAACGATGCTGCCTTCCACTGGTGTGCCTCTGACATGTTCTCATTTTTCCTCAACTGAGGATTCAGTGGAAAGGTAGAGAGGCTCCTCAACTGTATTCAACCCATTTGCCCCACTTCTACCCTCGCCCCTTCCTCTCCCAGAACAATAAGATTTAGGGTTAGTATCGAATCAGAGAAACGTCAGCCTCTCTGCTCCTATGATGCTGCTTGGCCTGCTGTGTTCATCCAGCCCTGCACCTTGTTGTCTAAGATTTAGGGTGACTTTTTTCCTCATTTTCCATCCCACCATTATCCACGCTCAAAGGATTACCCTCTACTGTTGCTGTCACCTCTAGCAGGATACCACCACCAAACACACCTTTCCCTCTCCTCCACTGTCAACATTCTGCAGGGTTTGTTCCATGTGGGGAAGCCTGTTTCATTCCTCCCTCATTCCCAAGAATTTTCTTAGTCCTTCCGTCCACACCAGCTCCCCCCCACCCCTCATGGCACCTTCCTGTGCAATCACAGAAAATACAACACTTGTGTTTTTGCTTCATATTCCCTCACTGTCCAAGGCTGCAAATACACCTTCGAGGTGAAGCAGTGGTTAATTTGTACTTGTTTCAATTTAGTCTACTGCATTTGCTGCTCACAATATGGTCATTAACACATGCTTTGCATTTCAATTGCTACTATATTACCATTAACAATCCCTTTATTTTTTGCTCTGGGCATCCTAAGCATCTGTTACCTTTCCTTTTCCCTTTGCCACAGCATAAAAGCCCTCTCCAGTTCAAAAAAAGTTATTAAGCGAGAAACTAAACATCTAAAAATACTTGTGATATGTATAATTCTCCACTAGGCGGAGACAACTCTTCTGAATTTTAGACAGGTAGTGGGGTTAATTAATTCTTAAAGCAAAAGTGTGCTAAATGAGGTTTTTTTAAAAGCATACAAGTGGCAAGTCTTTGCTGCTCATAATATGCTGTCTGTGAGATTAAATGCAGTATATCTCACAACTGAGGATTTGAGCAGAATGCAACTAGGCCAATGATGATTAGCTTAATGCACTAAAATCTGCAAAAGAATAGTTAATTCCTGAGTGTAATGTCTACTTCTTTAATGCTTTTTTATTCCAGATTGGCCTACATCACAGTGCAAGTATCAATACGTACACAGGTGGCCCTGCACTAACCCATGTCCAAAATCATAATTCATTGCCTATGAAATAAAAGGAACTTTATGGAAATTGTGAAATAATTAAATGTGTGCATATCCTTTGCTGTTATGCACATAAAGCTTATCAGCTAAAGCACTAGAACTAAATTACTAAATTGATGCTTAGAACAAACAAATCATTTTCAAACTCGTGAGATTGATATAGCAAGATGTGCATCAATGACAGGTATGAATATTATTTGGAATATGTAGCAAGGTATGGAAAGTCAAAAAAATGCAATTATACAAATTTGAAAAATTAGGTGAACCTATTGGCAAAACATGATAGGAACCTGGTCATTACAATTCACGGTCTGCAAAGTTCTGGTCTTCACACTATAAAAGAGAATGTGGACATAAGTCTGGAGAAAGTGCAAAACCACTTTATAAGGTTGACAATAGAACTGTCTGATTATATTCCGGAAACAATCAACAGAAAGGGGTCTCTACAAAAGAGAAAACTTTGAGGAGACTGGAGAGGGATGTTTAAAATTATGATGGGTTGAACACAGGTAGATGTGGGGTGAAAACTAAAGGTCACTCATTTGGGATAGTTAAGAATAAATTGTATTGGAAATAACTAGAATTTCTTTGCTCAAAGAGCAGTTAGAATGTGAAATGTCCAACACAGCACAAATTGGGACAAAAAGTTCAGTTTCTGCTGTTCTTCATTCTGGCGCTGGTCCACTTGATCTGCTAGCGTGAGCTCTAACAACTAAGGCCACAATACTTCCATTTGGCTTTAA